GGCGACTAAAGAGCAGCAGTAATCGCATCTAACCATGCAGACACACCACAGGGTGAGGGGGTCAGTCATGATACACGGATTGGCAGTAACATTAACTAGTATGAAGAAACACACACAGTCACAGCACAGGACATTATTAACTGCCCTCCAATGCACACAGTCACCAAAGGTCAAATGACTGGTTGGCTGTTGTCCTGGCTTATTAAAGAGTAACTCCACTGACCAAACACCATCACCAAAGGGAAAAGAAATGCTCGACAGGCATAAATGTGAAAATCAACAAACATTTTAGGAAGAGGTAGTTTTGAGTGCCCTTTCCAATTTTCAAGAGGGCAAAGGAGTTGGGTTTCGGATGTTTGGAGAAGGTGCTTCCTAGCTATGTCCTATCATGGACATTATTAACTTCCCCCACCTCTATCGGAACCACACTCCCAGTGTTTCCTTTAGGCCTTCCTCTCATTGTTGATGTATAGAGGCTAATGGGGGAAAGGCTGTTTTCATGGTGTTTGTCTTTACGTGGATTGAGCGTCTGAAGATAGAAGGCGTCTTGTGTTGCAATTTTGAGAGAAATATGTCATTTGTTTTTCCTAAGCAGGTGTGCAAAGTCTGCACATCCATATTCAATTCAACCCTAACAGATCTAGGCTACTAGCAGGTTATTTATACTCACGTTTTGCAACAATGCATTGTTCAAACCATGATTTGTTTCCCTAAAAAGCACTGATATGTTAGCCTTAATTGTGTAGAATATAAAATGCAAGATATGACCCATTTGCTGTAATGTCCTGATAAATGGCTTAGGTTTTTTTTTTTACATTTCACCCAAGAAAACATACAGCTTCAGTTTAGTGTTACGCGAGAAGCCGGAAAACACAAAGCTGTACACTCCTGGGTGAAAACACTTCTCTCTACCTTTGGAGCAACCTTGGGGAAGGTTTACTGGAAATGTCAGAGTTCATTTGGTCTCAACAATACAGGGACATACCTGTCTTTCCACTGTGTGGAAGCTTGACAGAAAAAGAATAACATTATCATTACGTGTGAGTGACACGAAAACCAGTAGGCTTGTAACTTTAATATTGTTTACCGGGGTGTGTATCCCCTGTGTCATCACACAGGCAAATGACTATGGAAAGCATCAAACTGCCACTAAAGCAAGACTCACTCGACGGAAAGTGACGGAACCTGTTTTATCGAGGGGACCGGTTAAGGCAACGTACACCTTACTTCCGACTGGTGCTAAAAGTGGGATACATAAAATAAAACTCACAAAAGAATTCAAATGCAGCTGCTGTTAGGCGACCTGACAAGAATGAGCAGGTTTTGGAGTGAAAGAAAGCAGTGAGTAAATGCAGTTTCCAGCTTTAGCTACCTGTCGCGAAAACAGGTGTAACAGGTGAGCAGTCAGGAAAGGCAGACGCAAAAGGACATGCGTAGGAAACAAGCACTACTTACCATTTTGACGCCGCAGCAAGAGCCATAAACGTTATCAAAAGAGTTTTGAAAAAGTTATAATAAAATAAATAGGTACTTTTACCCTCACAAAGGGCCAACTAACGCGACTGGACACATACCTGTCTGTCGCCTATGTGCCAGTCAGTGAACTTGGTTAACTCCGCCCCCCTGGCCGCCAGAGGAGCGGTGCATGCAGGGCGCGTCACCAAGCCTCACGACCATCTGGATTGGCTATTGTAGATGTGTGCATAGGGCCGCACCCGAGCAGCAGCTCATACAACTTATAAGACCTACCACATGGTTTGTACGAGACATTCAAATAAATGAGCTGATAATTAACTCGCGTCACCTGACTGCCAGGGTGAGTGTTTAAGTGCATTCCCATGCACGATCGGTAGAGAGCAGCAAGTGTTCTCCTCTGTCTGCCTGCTTCATGTGGTACCGGTGTGCCCCAGTACTGACAAGGACTGGCCGGTTGGCACTTGTTGAAACAGTTGGTCGCTTGATAACATGTCTCTGTACCGAAATACCATCTGGTTTCTGAATGGAATTCACCAGTATACAAGGTCAGTATTGAGTATTCCATCATAGCTTCTCTACAGATGTGTAGACAAATAGAGAAATGCTGTCAGGGGGGCTTTGTGAAGTTCAGTCGGTGTATATGTACTTTATAATTCCAGTTTGTTGAATGTCTAAATACAGAATTTACTGTCTAACTACTGTATTTCATGTCATTTATTTCTTAATGGGCAGCTTAAGGCCTGCTGAGCAGAGGGATATTAGAGGTCTGATCGCTGTATGGCACACATTACCACACAAACTGGCCTTTATGTACAGTTACAATGGTTCCATTGACAGCTGCTGTGTCTTGAGGATGACATTTGCATGACCTGACTACTGGAGCTAAAATGTGGATAAAGAAAAACATTGCAGTTTGTCCACCTTTTGACTCTGTCATAAAACAAAACAAAAAAAAATCTGTACTCTTAACTTTGATTTACACATTGATTGGTGTATTTTCTTTGTGCCTTCAGGACGGGATATGAGGCAGCATCTAAAGACTTTGATCCCAAGGACCTGGATTTGTCCATTGTGGGAAGATCATTTATGATCACTGGAGCCAACAGTGGAATTGGCAAAGCAGCAGCCACGGCTATAGCCAAGAAAGGTACATGCTGGGGAGTTGTGCTCTATTATATACTGTATATTGAGTCAAAATAAAGTCTCATGTTTTGTTTCCAAGGTGGGACAGTCCACATGGTGTGTAGGAACAAAGATAAAGCAGAAGATGCCAGGGCAGTCATTGTCAATGAGTCTGGGAATACGGTGAGTGTTGACTGTCTAGAACATGCCAGAGGCCAGTGTTTTAGTCAAATCACTCAACTTTAGTAAGTAAGTAAGTAAATTTTATTTATATAGCACCTTTCACAGACAGGGTCACAAAGTGCTTTACAAAGTCAAAGGATAAAAAGAGATAAATAATAAACCTAAAAAGTACTCACAAAATAAAGTCCAGGTTGAGTCTCGAGACCCCAGTGTTCGAGTCCCAGTCAAGTCTAAGCCACGAAAGAGTAGTCATAGTTGAGTGCCTTTTACCCGAGTCATCGAAGTCTACATTAAACACAACTGACACAGCTCTCAACATTTTAAAACCTCTGACACAATATACAAACAAATGCACTCGTAAACGTACATACACACATTACCCATAAGTGAACACTGTGAATATCATCGTCAGTATCTTATGCCAAATTATTATGGCCTGCAGTCTTGAGTTCTTGCGTCAAACATCCGAGTCCAAATGCAGTCAATGCCCAAATTTAAGTCCGAGTCATCAGTGCTCACGTCCAAGTCCATCAGGACTTGAGTCAGACTCAAGTCTGAGTCCTGAACTCAAGTGCTACAACGCTGCCATATGCTATAAATAGGAAATAAGTGACAAATTTCATGCTTTATGACAAAGAAAGATAATTCTTTTGGTCGTTCTAGGAGGTTTACATCCATATTGTGGACATATCAGAGACACGCAAAGTCTGGGAGTTTGCAGAGGCCTTCAAGAAGCAGTATCCATCCTTAAATGTCTTAGTAGGTATCGATCATCTCCTCTTCAACACACATCCTTCTTTACAAAGTCATGAGGTTAGACTCAGCTGTTTGATCTTACTTTTCATTTTCCATCATAGATAAATAATGCAGGGTGTATGGTGCATAAGAGAGAAGTGAACACTGAGGGACTTGAGAGGAACTTTGCCACCAACACTATGGGTGAGACCAGATCCCGTTGGTCACCAAGTTTCGTGCTGTAATGTGTAATGTAGATGCCAGTTTTAAACATGAAGTAAAGGTGAAAGCCTTTGTCCATCTCCACAGGGGTGTATGTACTTACCCAGACTCTCACACCACTTCTCCAGAAGAGCCAGGATCCAAGAGTGGTAGGAGCACACACATATACACACACACAGTGCTCATCTGCATCACGTGGACGGCATAATGCCACAATTGTCTGTTCTGTAGTGGCTGTCGTCTAAGCACACTGGCCTTTTTTTTTTTCTCCCTGCTTGTAAGATCATTGTGTCCTCAGGAGGCATGCTGGTCCAGAAGCTCAGAGCTGATGACTTGCAGTCAGAAAAGGGTTACTTTGATGGTGTCATGGTTTACGCCCAGACCAAGGTAGGAGAGGAGGAAGTAATGCTGTTTAGGAGGCAAGCATTTTAAAAATATAGGTCTGGATCTGTTTCAGAAATCATTCTATGTTGTAACTACATCTGTCTATTGGGTTTGGTTTAATAATAATATTGATGGTACAAAACACATTTGAAGTCATGAAAAACGCTAAATGCAAGATAAAGAAAAACAATGTGTTGTTTCTTCTCAGAGACAGCAGGTGGTGCTGACACAACAGTGGGCCAAAGCCAACCCTGCTGTTCACTTTTCTGTGATGCACCCAGGATGGGTAGATACACCAGGTACTAACAGAGCAATCAACACCATCAGACAGTAAACTGATTACTGCTGTGCTTTTTTTCTTCTTTGTGCTGTTCATACTCCAGGTATTGCTCAGAAATCTCACAGGTTTGCAAGCTGTCTGGTGAATCGGCACTGCTGAGTACAGAATTCTTTTTAGAACTCTACCTAAATGCAGGAGAGAATTTTTCATAAACTAACCTGTAGCAGCAGTTATAAAGTACATCCCTTTTGTTCTTTGCACATGTAACAGAGATCACACTGACAAGAAGTCATTGATTGGTTTGAAAAATGTATCAAAATTTGAACCCCTAACACAATGTATAGCCATATTTGCATAATGTAGATGCTGTAATCCAATTATCTGAGAAGTTGTATGTATGGCCAATATTTCATATTTTGCACTTTCCATTGTCTGTTTAGTTTTGACTACTCCTTAAGAACATGTTTGCTCATTCTTTTATCTGTCCACAGCTTCTGTTTCATCTGCTTGGGTGCCAAAACAGCATTAGCTGAGTTTCTGTTAGTAATATGAACAACACAACACCGTCCCAGCTTCTTTTCTGTTTCCAGCTGTTTCCAGATCAATGCCTCAGTTCCATCAGATGATGGGGGAGAGACTGCGCAGTATAGAGCAAGGAGCTGACACAGTCGTGTGGTTAGCTTTATCTAGAGCTGCTGCCAGAACCTGCAGCGGGCAGTTCTTCCAAGGTGAGAAGCACGAAACCTGACAGGGTCTTCTACATTCACATGGAGACATTTCATCATCTAAAAGTGAATTCTGACATCACTTTCCATCTCGTGTCACTTATTCTGACAGATTCTTTGTGTTGCAGATCGTAAGCCTGTTCCTGCCCACCTGCCTCTGGCTTGGACTCACAGTTCTACAGCAGAGATTCAGCGCTTCATGACTCAGCTGGAGATTCTGGCCAGAGCTGTTCAGTCACAACCTGATGCAGAGTTTAAGGATCCCCTGGGCCCTTCCACACCTCAATTTGTCTAAATTCTGATGTTATACTATACGGAACATCACAGACCCATTACAGTATTGGTAACAATAGATCTAGTACTGGAAAATGTGATGTTTTATTTTAGCCTATGTAACTCCTAACTCTACTCAGAGATGGCTTTGAGGACATTGTTTCGTTCAGTGGGCCCTAATCTGATCTAATACGTTACACTATCTAGTCTGTATAAAATGAGCCTTTTCTTATGACAATGACAAAAATAGGTTTTGTGATTTTTGTCTGATTTGCTTCTCACACACGACAGTGCCTACATTTAAGATGTGCAGTAGATATTGTGCTCTTTGGTCAAATTGTCAAGCTCCACAATGGCTTGAATACTTTTCTAGGTGTGAAAGCAGGTGACAGGGCTGTGAGTTCTTTGAGAGAATTCATTCATAATTTTAGACTCTACCAGCACCAGGACAAAATGTTAGGTTTTTATATCGACATATTAAAGACAATTGTAGAAGATGAGCACAGAATCTGTGTGAAAATCGGAGCATTAATATTCATTTTGTTTAAGAATCCACATTTTGCTGTTCAATTTTATTATTTTTATACAGTATTGAACCAAAAAAAAAAATATACGGTGCATTCACATTTTTCCCCAAGGGATTTGTTGCAAGTTTGATCTCTACAAGGGTAAAACAGTGAAGAGCTGTTAAATCTTAGGGATCAGGAAGACTGGACCTGATTTGAAAGTCATCTAGAAGATCTGATGGATTTTCTTCTGTGCCAACATCCCATTTATGTGTTTACTGATTCATAATGAATCAGGTTCCCAGCATGTCGTTTCAAGACGCTTCCAGGCCATGCGTAACAACAGTCCAAAGACCACAAACAAATCCTATCCCCTCCCCCCCCCCCCCCTCCTCCGTCTCATTCCCCCCC